AAGATCAAAGGGTATTTCAATAAAAGTTAATATAACTTCTATGGGATCTCACACAATGAAGAAGCAGGGATTTATTCTTCCATTATCCCATGGTCGATAGCACACGTGGTATGAAACACATGTTACAGTGTTCTCACCTTATATTGGCACGTGTGTCTTATTCTTTTAATCATTCAACACCGTACAGATCTTGATCTAGACACCTCCAAATGTCTAACTGGAGTTTCTTACTTTAATAATCCTCAATCTATCTTCTTAGAGAAACTCACATCTGACTTACAAAACAAGTCATAATCGAATAGTTAAATTCATAAGTCTAACAAGTTTTCAAGATCGACCTCTACAAGTAAATATAACCTCGCATTATCCAAGGTTCTATAAGGTCTTATCTCTTCACGATTCCTAATGTAAGAGGCGATTGCTCGTGTGAGAGAGCCAATCTCACGACTTGTTCGACACACTTTATCAACAAAACATCATCACATGCATACAAGATATAAGCATAAATTCAAGAGTCAAGTATTGACGAGCATATTATAATAATAAAGTCATTTTACAATATATAAATATTATCAAATCCTTCATAAACCTAGATCCATAACATGTTTCTCAAACAAGTCTCTAGATATCGCCTTTGTAAAAGGATCATCTATCATATTTTGCGTAGGAATGTACTGTAAATTTATCTCTCTACTTGCTACCAAGTCTCTCACAAAGTTATACTTGATGTCAATGTGTTTGGTCTTGCTGTGATACTTAGGATATTTTGTGTATGCGATAGCCTCTTGACTATCACAATATAGAGTTATGGGATCCTAAGAGTTCTTTGTAATATCCAAATGTTCAAAGAATCTCTTCAACCAAACAACTTCTTGTAATATAGACGCACAAGCCACGAACTCAAATTCCATCGTCGAAGGGGCAGTACAAGTTTGTTTCTTACTTTTTCAAAATAGCACCACCATTAAGTAAGAAAGTATAACCGGATGTTGATTTTCTATCATTCCGATCATCAGCCCAATCAACATCTGTATATCCTTTTAAGTATAAATCATTTCCACTATAACATAGTGAAAAATCTGCAGTTCCCTTCAGGTATCTGAAAATTATCTTCACATCTTTTCAATATTCTCTTCCAGGATTGGATTGATACTTGCTAACCAGACCTACATCATAACAAATATGTGGACGAGTACACATCATAACGTACATCAATCTCCCGACAACACTTGAATATTGAACTCGAGACATGTCTTCCTTTTCATTTCCAGTTTTGGGATACATTTCGAGGCTTAAAGTTTCACCTCTCACTATAGGAGTATCCATGGATTTGCAACTCTTCATGCAAAAATGCTCCAAAACTTTCTTTATATAAGTTTCTAGAGATGTACTCAATAACTTTTTGGAATGGTCTCTTTGGATCTTAACTCCAAGGATGCAGTCTGCCTCACCCATATCTTCATGTCAAATGACTTTAAAAGCCATGACTTGATAGTTTTCATATACTCCAAATTGTTCCAACCAATAAAATATCGTCCACATAAAGAGAAATAATTACAAACATCCCATTTGACTTCTTCACATAAATGCAATGGTCTTCATTAATCATGGTGAAATCATACGAGATCACCTCCTTGTGAAATCTCAAATACCATTGCCTTGAAGATTGCTTCAGGCCATAAATAGATCTTTTTGTCACGACCCGAATTTTTCACCCTCGGGAGTCGTGATGGAGCCTACTCGTAGAAGCTAGGCAAGCCACTAAACATAGAAAATTTCTAACTCTTTCATTTTTAACCCTTTTTAACAATATGAATTAACAGGTATCCAACATTTAGATATTAACGATAAATGAAATCAAGCGAAAGACTTAATCTAATATAATAACCAAGACCAGTACGATAATGACAACACACATCTCTACTCGAAATCTGGTGTCACAATATCACGGACAAACTAAGACTACTACAATAAATGTCTAAAAGAAATATAATCTGTCTCGAAATCTAATGAAAACTGAGTACATAATAATGTAGAAGAGAACGCCGGGCCTGTAGACGCCTGCAGGACTACCTCGGGATCTCTGGCTGGACTGAAGGCAGGCTCCCCAAGTGCTACTGTCCAAAAGCTGCTCCAGAATCTGCACATAGTGCAGAGTGTAGCATTAGCACAATCAACCCCATGTGCTGGTAAGTGCCTAGACTAACCCGGCGAGGTAGTGACGAGGTTAGGACCAGACTCCAGATAAACTTGTGCAGTTATATAATATACAGCGGAAAATAAACAGGAATAAACAATTAATATGGGAGGGGTACATGTTACGAAGGAAATATCGAATCCAGCAGAAACTTAAGAGAAATATGAGAGAACAATTCAAGATTTACAACAAAACCATAATAATACTGTTGCGGCGCGCAACCCGATCCCTATTATTTAACACTGTTGCGACGTGAAACCTGATCCATTTATATCACTGTTATGGCGTGCAACCTGATCCAACATAATATTGTTGCGGCGTGCAACCCGTTCCATATATAGTATTGTTGCGGCGTGCAACCCGATCCAACATAATATTGTTGCGGCGTGCAACCCGTTCCATATATAGTATTGTTGCGGCGTGCAACCCGATCCAACATAATATTGTTGCGGCGTGCAACCCGTTCCATATATAGTATTGTTGCGGCGTGCAACCCGATCCAACATAATATTGTTGCGGTGTGCAACCCTTTTCATATATAGTATTGTTGCAACGTGCAACCCGATCCAACATAACATTTATATACCTTTAGCAACAACCATACCAAGTGGCAAGGGATCAACAATAAGCTACACTATCCCGGTAAGGGATTCGACAGTAAAAGTAAATACGTCCCGACAAGGGAGAAACAACTATAACCAATCTTAACCCAACTTCTGCTCACCTCAGCTAACACCAATACCCAATCATAAGTAATTTCCACGAAAACAAACTTAATCCTTGCTCAATGTCGAGAATCATCAATTAAAGCATCCATAGTACTAATTAAGAACATAAAATAAATTGCAATTTTAGACTCACGGTCATGCTCGACACCAATGTATAGATACTCGTCACCATACCTATACATCGTACTCAACAAGAAGCAAATAGCAAATAGGACACAACTCTAAATCCCTCAAGCTAAGGTTAGACCGAACACTTACCTCGAACTTCCACGGGCAACTCAAGCCTCAAACACCGCTTTTCCTTTTGAATTTGGCTCCCAATCAATTGTATCTAGACATAATCGACTTAATAACATCAATAAACGCTAAACAATCCAATTCCAATTCTTAATTATAGCTTTCTCATCATTCTTTCCAAAAAGTCAAATATTGACCCCGGGCTCGCTTGGTCAAAATATGAGGTTCGGACCAAAACCCGATCACCCATTCACCCACGACTCCGAATATATAATTAGTTCTAAAATTTGACCCCAAAATGAGGTCTAAATCACAATTTTACAAAAAGCCCTAACTCTACCCAAATCCCTAATTTTCTATCCTTAAGAATATGATTTTAAGCCTAAAAATCTAATGGGTTTTAATGGAAATTGAAGAAAATACGTCTAAGATTACATACCTACGAATTGGTGGGGAAATCCTCTTTCAAAAATCGCCCAATTTGGAGTTTGGAAGAAGAAGTTATGAAATTTTGATTAAATCCCTATTTGGCTTCTGTTTTAAAATCACTGGACAGGCCTTCACGCGTTCGCGATAGGCCTGTCGCGTTCGCGAAGAGTTGGGCCTAAGTGACCTTCGCGTTCGTGAGCTTGGGCTCGCGTTCGCGGAGCTTTGACTCCTCGATCCTTCACGTTCGCGGGCCAGTGACCGCGTTCGCGGGCCAGTGGCCGCGTTCGCGTAGCACAAAATTCCCTTCCCCCTCCCCAGACCCAAAGGCCTTTGCGTTTGCGATAACAGGTCCGCGTTCGCGAAGGGAAACACCCCCAAGGCTTCGCGTTCACGTCCTGTGTCTTGCGTTCGCGTAGAAGGAGATTTCCTTCAGCCTGACTAACCCTTCACGTTCGCGAGAGTCCTTCCGCGAACGCGAAGAAGAACACACCAGCACACCAGAAAACTGAAAACTTGCAATCTTTTCCAAGTTCAAAACCTTCCAAAACCCATCTGAAACTTATCCGAGCCCTCGAGGCTCCAAACCAAACATGTACACTATATCAAAAACATCATACGAACTTATTCGCGCGATCAAATCGCCAAAATAACCTCTTAAACAACTAATTTAACATAGAAATCTAAGAAAATCTTCAAAATTTTCAAGGTAGGAATTTTCACAACTATGGGTCCGAATCACCTCAAATGACTTCCATTTCTTACCAAATTTCACAGACTCATCTTATTTCACATATAAGACCTGTACCGGGCTCCAAAACCAGAATACATGCCCGATACTATCAAATTCCAATTGCATTTCATCTCAAAAACTCATAGAAATTTCCAGAAATAATTTTCTTTAAAAAATTTATTTCTCGGGCTTGGGACCTCGGAAATTCAATTCCGGGCATACGTCTAAGTCCCATATTTTCCTACGGATCCTCCGGGACTGTCAAATTATGGGTCCGAGTCTATTTACACAAAACATTGACCGAAGTCAAATTAATTTATTTTATAGTCAAAATTTATCATTTTCATAGATTTTTACATATAAGCTTTCCGGCTACGCGCGCGGACTGCGCACGCAAATTGAGGTGATGCTAAAAGAGGTTTTTAGGGCCTCGAAATGCAGAATTCAATTTAAAAATAAGTGATGACCTTTTGGGCCATCACACTTTTCAATTTATAGACCTTTTTTTCTTAGCCTTTAACGATGAAGCCTACAAGTTGTTCAATGTAGATTTCGCCGTTTAGTTCTCCATTAAGAAAATCTGTCTTCACATCCATTTGATCTAATTCCAAATCCAACGTGCAACAATAGCCAAAAGCAAGCGAATTGAGGTAAACTTCACAACTGGTGAAAATGATTCCTAATAATCTATTCCAGCTTCTTGAGAAAAGCCTTTTGCCACCAATCGTGCCTTGTATCTTTCTATTGACCCATCCGCTTTGCGTTTAACTTTGAGAACCCATTTGTTCCCAATGGCTCTATGCCCAGACAGAAGGTCAACTAGATCCCAGACTTTGTTAATTTTTATAGATTTTAATTCTTCTTTCATTGCTTTCATCCACTCATTTTTTCCAGGGCTCGATAAAGCCTCAGTCACAGACTTTGGCTCATCCATTTCTGTGGGAGATACCAAGAAAATATAATCTTCAATCTCATAAGTACATTTGGGTATATTTTTCCTGGCACTCTTTCGTAGTTGAAATTCAGGTTCGTCAGAAGGATTTTGGGATTGAGAGTTCCCATTCCCACTCGGATTAAGAATAAGATCTTGATCAATTTGATTATCAACCGTGTCAGAGGACATTGGCTGGAGTTCAACATTTCATAAAGAGGCTCTCCATTCTTTACCTCGCCCTTCTTTGGAAAATTATTTTCCAGAAATGCGACATCTCGTGATTCAATATTAGTAACACTTTCATCCTCTAACTCAACAATGAACACAAATCCTTTGGAGTGTTCTGAATATCTTATAAAGATACATTTCTTGCCTTTTGGACCTAATTTACCAAACTTGCTAAACAAATCTTTTACATATGCAGCACAACCCCAAGGTCATAAATCCTTTAAGTTTGGTTTATGACCAGTCCATAGCTCATAAGGAGTGAAAAAGCTGATTTAGAAGGCACTTTACTCAATATGTAGGTTGCAGTCAATTCCCAAAAGGAGATAGGTAATTTGCCTGCGCCACCATGGACCTTATCATGTCCAGTAGTGTTATATTCCTCCTTTCTGCTACTCCATTTTGTTGAGGTGTGTAAGGAATAGTTAACTATCTGGTGATGACCTTTTCATTACACAATTCTTCAAATTCTTTTTATAGATATTTACGCCTCTATCGGTTCTTAAAGTCTTAATCCTTTTGTTTAATTGATTCTCAACTTCATTCAAATATTTCTTAAAGCATTCAAGTGCTTCAGATTTATAAGAAATCAAATAGACATAAACAAAGCGTGTGAAATCATTAATGAACGTGATAAAATATAAAGCACCAGACCTAGCCCTCACATTCATTGGACCACTGATATCAGAATGGATTAATTGCAATGGAAAATTAGCTCTCTTAGCCTTTCCAAATGGTTTACATGTAATCTTTCCGGCAAGACAATTTTCACAAGTTGGCATTTCAATTTTAGAGAAAGAACCTAAATGTCCTTCCTTAGCCAATCTATTCATTCGATCCTACCCTATCTGACCTAGTCTTGCATGCCATGTAATAACATCAACATCATTGTTACTAGAATAACATGCCATAATACAACAGTCAACATAATAGTTATACATAGAAGAATTACAATCTAACACAATAAAACCATCATAATAATGTCCAAAACCATAAAAAATATTGTCTTGAGTAATTCTAAGACCATTGCAACTAAAGTTCAAATTGAAATCCAAATCTAGAAGAACTGACACAGAGACTAAGTTTCGTCGAATCGCTGGAACATATAGGACATCATGCAACATCAAAGATCAGCCACCACACATGTCCATTCTGCAAGTGCTATCCCTTTGACTTCAAGCTTTGCATTATTTCCCACATATACATGCTTTGATCTAGGTGGAACTCGATGAAACTCTATAAGTGCCTCTCTATCACGACTCATATAGTCGGTGGCCCTAGATCTATAATCACACAAAATAAGATTCAGTTAGTAAAACTGTGACGACCCGGCCGGTCGTCTTAAGAATTAATGCCCCGATCCCCTATTAACTACTTTCTCCAAGTTTATTTCTGCTATTTTGATTTGCTGGAATGTTCGATTTTGAGTTTTGGAGAGTTTTGGGACACTTAGTCCCTAAATGAGAGTGAGATTTTGAGTTTCGAAGAGTTTTGGGACACTTGAATTTTTGAAGTTTTCGATCCGATAGTGAGATTTTGATTTGAGGGTCAGAATGGAATTCCGGAAGTTGGAATGACTCCGTAGTGTTGAATGTGATGTGTGTGCAAAATTTCAGGTCATTAGGACGATGTTTGATAGACTTTTTGATCGAAAGCGTATTTTTGAGAATTTTGGACTTAAATCCATGGTTAATTCGAGGTTTTGACGTTGTTTTAAGTGTTTTAAGGATTGGTACAAGTTTGGGTAGTATTTTTTGACTTGTTGGTGCCTTTGGTTGAGATCCCAGGGGCCTCGGGATAAATTCGGATGGTTGACAGAAGGATTTTTGGAGTTAGAGTTGCAGCTGAAGCTGCTAGTTCTGTCATAACCGCACCTGTGGTTTGGGTTCCGTAGGTGCGGTACCGCAGAAGTGACTCAGTGGCTGCAGAAGAGAAATTAGGGAATTTCTTTAGGAACCGCAGAAGCGGTGGTAATTCTTCAAGAGCGGTACCGCATCTGCGGATTGGGAGTCACAGATGCGGAAGCTGGACCTTAAGTGAGAAGTCGCAGATGTGACCTTTGGTCCACAAAAGAGGGACCGCAAAAGCGGTCCCTTGATCGCAGATGCGGAAGCTGCTGGACAGAAATATGAAATTTCGAGGGTTTAGTTTCAAAAGTTGGAAATTCGATTGGAGCTCGGGAGAGGGCGATTTTGAGAGAAAATTAAAGAGGAGATCATTGGGTAACGATTCTTTAACCCTTTCTAGTTATATTCCATCAATCTATAGTTAGTTTCATCATTTAGTTTCGGATTAGAGATGAAAATTGGACAAAAGTTGGAAGAAGGTTCTTAGACTTAGAATTCGACTTCTGATTGGGAATTTGACCTTATATTTGGATAATTTTGGTATGCATGAATTCGGGAGAGTGTGAGGATTCTTAAAATATAAATTTTACCTGATTCTGAGACGTGGGCCCGAGGGGAGTTTTGGTCATTTTACCTAATTTTGCATATTAGCTTAGAATTTCTTTGTAGAATCAGTTACTTGAAGTGTTATTTACATTATACAATTGAATTGAATAGATTTGGGCCATTTGGAGTCAAGTACTCGTGGCAAGAGCGTGGTTTCGAGTTGATTTTGAGCCAATTCGAGGTAAGTGGGTTGTCTAACCTTATGTGGGGGACCTTCCTTTTAGGATTGATATATTTGGTAATTGAAATGCCTTGTACGTGAGGTGACGAGTGCGTACTTGTGCTAATTGTTGGAAATTCGGTTTTCATTAAATAATCACTAGTATGTTTCCTTTCCTATTTTTCTTATTACTTGAACTATTAAGCCTGCTGTTAGCTTAGGAAATCATGTCTAAGTGTCTTAATTGCTTTATTTGCTCAATCTGCCTTACTTGAATTCTGTGCAGAATGCTAGGCTAGAATCACTTGTTGCCTTAATATGAGATTTTGCCATTTCTGTATATTTTCCTGTTTCTGCTGTGTAATTATTTTGGGACTACGGATGTGGGATTCCGGTAGCTCCCCCCTTGCCTGTTTATTTGGGACTACGGATGTGAGATTTCGGTAGATCCCCCTTGTCTGTTTATTTGGGACTACGGATGTGAGATTTCGGTAGATCCCCCTTGTCTGTTTATTTGGGACTACAAATTTGGGATTCCGGTAGATCCCCTACAAAGTTATATGGAATTACGGGACTGCACCCGGTAGTTTTCCCCATTATTGGGTATTTACATTTGGGGACTACGGAACGGGATTCTGGTAGATCCCCGATGCATTATGAGTTGGATTACAGGATGACACCTGGGAGATCCACTAGATATTTACATTTGGGGGCTACAGAATGGTATCCTGGCAGATCCCCCGATTGCTATCTCTGTGTTGAGCTGTGTTCCCTCGGTGGGTATTTTTGCCTCTGTTCTAGTTGTTGTTGCTCTTTCTATTCTATGTTATTTCTTACTGTTGCACTTAATTATACTGTCTTGTTCTACACTATTATACTTTGTATTTTATTTGGCCTCAGTAGGGCCCTGACCTTCCTCGTACCTACCTGACCGAGGTTAGGCTTGAAACTTACTGAGTACCACTGTGCTGTACTCATGCTCCTTCTACGCATGTTTTTCATGTGCAAATCCAGGTACTTTCACTCTGTCTTATCATCCTTGAGGTGAGGCGCTTCTATAGAGACTTCGAGGTATATCTGCCGCGTCCGCAGACCCAGGAGTCCCTTTCTATATTTCTATAATAGTATAGCCCTTCAGTACTTCCCGTTTGTTAGACATTTCCGGAGTTAGAGCTTCTTATGTATCTCTTAGTTTGTGATTCATGGGTTTCCGGGTCTTGGAAGTATGTATTGGTTTGAGAGTTAAATATTGTGTATGCCGAGCAACACTTTTAAACACTGTATTAGCATTCTTCATTCTGTTTTAACTTGTTTTTTATTCCACACTTGGTTTATCTTCCGTAATTTAGGCTTACCTAGTCATAGAGGACTAGGTGCCGTCACGATGGCTCATGGAGGTCGGACCGGGGTCGTGACAAGTTGGTATTAGTGCTCTAGGTTCATAGGAGTCATGGATCACAAGCCAATTTAGAGAGTCTCGCTGATCGGTACGGAGACGTCTGTACTTATCTACGAGAGGCTATGTAACTGTTTGGAAAATTACACTTCATTTGATTTACTTGTCATGTGATATTTTGAGATCACAATTCTTAACCTTTGTCTTCCATTCTCTCATAGATGGTGAGGACACGTGCTACCAGAGATGATCAGACACCCGCGCCCCCTGAGAGAGCCGTCGGAGGTTGGGGCCGAGGTAGAGGATGAGGACGCGCACATGGTACAGCTAGAGCACTTGCGGGAGCTACCATCGAGGAGCCACTAGCAGTTCCAACAAGAGTTCAGGCACCGGATGTGCCTACTGCTACTACTACTCCAGCATTTCAGGAGACATTAACGCAGTTCCTGAGCATGTTTGGTACATTAGTTCAGGCGGGGTTGATTCAGGTTGTACCAACTACTTCACAGATCGGGGAAGGGACCAGACTTCTACCACCCCCACTCCAGAGCAGCGAGTTCTCATTAGTCGAGTTCCAGATGTCATAGCGACACAGCTGGTGGTCCCAGTTTAGCAGGTGGTGAGGACCTCTTGCCGAGTAGAGGACAGGTGGGTCCAAGAGAGAGAGGACATACGAGGTCAGGAGAGAGAGAGTATAGGGAAGTAGGGAGACCTTGTACACTGGAAAGATCCACTGGTCCTTATTTTGGAGGAAGAGTACGACATGGTAAAGGTTTTGTGGGTCAGCCAACTCAATTTTCATCTCAGATTTCACACAGTATTTCAGGTGTTCAAGGGTCTTGGAGTACCCGTACCGCGCAGTTTCCACTACCACATCAGCCGCGAGGTTGCTTTGAGTGTGGTGACATATGCCATGTGGTAAGGTATTGCCCTAGACTTGGGAGGAGTGCACCTC